CATTCAATTAGAATTTAAATTTGAAAGATATCATTTTAAATGTTTTATTTGAATTAAACAATTTAAATTTATTAATTCTTTTTTTTAAATAAAATATTTTCGTTACTACTAAATATAAAAAATATTTAAATACAAAATAATTATTAATAATTTAAAAGTATAAGTATTGATGGTATTTTTTAATCGTGATTAAAATGCATGTTTTTTATTAAAGTTCATCAAGACTGCATTTCAAACATTCCACTTTATTTATCAAGACTGCATTTTTTTTAATTGTCAAGATTCAAAAGTACATTATTATTTGTAAAGTTTAAAAAATTATGTTTTATTATAATTAGTTATAATTAAAAGGTAAATTATTTTATTCATATATTTTGAAAAGTAAGAAAAAAAAAACTATTATAACTAACCTCTTTAGATAAGTATTTAAAATTAAAAGAGAATAGTTGAAAATAACTTAAAATTTACACGATAAATCTCTTGCATGCAAATTGAACATAAGTTATGTTTGAAGAAAGTAACCGAAGAACAGGGCAAATGAAAAGGTTAAGTATCAATTAAAAATATTTTACTTAGCAAGTATTTTTTATTATCATATTTTCTGACATATATAATGTATTTTACTATTAATGTTATATTAAATTTTGCTATTAGACGTACTGTGTATGTAAAATAAGTAATCAATGAGTCGAGACAAGAATTTTAACCCTCACAAGTTAATCAATGACTTTAGTTTCTTACGCTCTGCTTATTTATTATAGACAAAAGTGAATTTCATGTTTCAATACTTGCACGAAGAAGTGTGATGTAAAGAAAGAAAGAGAAAAAGAATGGCTACACAAGAAATTGGTTTAGTCCTTTGGGCTTCAACTTTACATTGGAGGAGTACTCACTATTGCATTTGGGCCAGTTTCTTCCTATACCATCATATCTTTCTTCGTGCACCCTTAAAACTCCTTGAGAAAACTCTCATAAGCCCTTCTTGTGACTCAATCAAGATAATTATTTCTTGTGTTGAAAGTCCTACATCGATTAGAGATAAGACAAATTTATAATATATAAGTGAGATACAAACCTCATCTTACAAGTCGATTTTGTGGAATTGAGTTAGACTTTAAATTCACTTTCTAATATAGTATCAGATTTTGTTTTTAGAGTGACAACAACAATTAATAAAAAAAAAATGTTGGAAAGAATAACAAATATATGTTTCTCACTTGCAGTAAGAAGATGACACATTGGTCGGTTAGGATTAGGGTTTAGATCATTATGTAATGAAAGGTTAGAATTGAATGATAATGAAAGTTAGGTTTGATGGTTGAGGTTCAATGCCTGTGAAGTTCAAGGACAACTACCAAGTATAAGGCTTCACAATTAATTAAACAATGTCGTGGTTGCTTCAATGAGTGAAGGTTAAAGCCAATAAACAGCAAAGTTTGAGAATGATGGTCACTTTCTTTAGATAAAGGAAACAAAAACCACAAAACAATACTAACAGTAAGAAATTTGACTGTAGAATTAAGAGAAAAAAAATATTATCATCATACCATTTAAACTAGCATAATAAAAACAGTATCATATAAATCGTCTTAGTTTATATTTATATCAATATTTTGTTTTTATTTAATTATATTAGCCACTCAAATTTTCATTTAATTTTAAAGAAAAAAATTATTTAACAACAATAAATAATATTTAATTTAATTACTTTTAATATTAAATTAAATAAAATTATATTCACTAAAAATATTATATATATATATATATATATATATATGTATGTATGTATGTATGTATATATAATATATACATATATTATTTATGTTATGAATATTTTAAATGCATATATTTATAACAACATATACATTATGATTTAGTGAAGCATCAGTCACTAAATTTAGTCATTGTTCATAATATTTTTAGTAACGAATTATTTCATAAAAGTGGAATAATAAATTATGTAATTATATTGAATAGTAATTATTTATTTAAATTTCGGTTCAAATACGAACTCCATTAATAACTGATTGTGTATTAGATAAGTAAATTTTATACTAACTTTTCATATTCAATGAGCAAGTTATCAATCATTAAAAATAGTCTATTCTATCAATCAAAAATTATTTTATATAAAATTTTCTTTTGATAATTTTAAAGTGAACAAGTTTTAATTATTTAATTTTTTTTAATTTTCAAGATTTCTTCAAGAATAGTAAAATAATTTTTCTTAAAAAATATTCAAAAAGGAGTTTTCACTTTAAGACAATTAGTGAAATGATTTCATATTCTTTTATTTTTATCCTTTTGAAATACAACTATTATTTATCATGATATCTTTATACTTTATGATCAGAATTTATTTTGCAATGGTTTTATCATCTTTTTATTGTTTATAAAAAGGTTTGTGTGATGAGTGATTGTATTATGCATGTAAAGTGTGCTTTTAATCACACTTTTAAGATGGTTTTTATTGAAGTCCATTGAAATAAAAAAGGGTTAAATATTTTTTTATCTCTTAACTTTTAGTGAAAATTGTAATTAGTTCCTCTTCAAAACTTTCGACTAATTTAGTCCCAAACTTTATAAATGTGTGAATTTAATTCTTTTAACCAAATTTTATTAACTTTATTTGATATTTCAAACGCATTTCTCAGTTAACATTAAAGCAAAAATGTGTCAAACGGTATAAACAACTTAAATGTCATTATGAAACGCACTTGAAACATCAAATAAACCTAACAAAATTTAGTTAAAATGACTAAATTCACATAGTTCTAAAGTTTGGGGAAATAAGGCCAAAGTTTTGAAGAGGAACTAATTCCAATTTTAACTAAAAATTAAGGGAGCAAAAACATATTTAACCCAATAAAAGATGAACATAGTTTCTTTTATTTGTTTTTTCTTCTTTATTCTTTCTAGTTTTACATTTTTTTTTCTGATTGTTTTTATATTTTAAACTCCTTAATCAATTGTTAGAAAACAAATTTTCTGAAAATTTATTCATGATTTATTTTTTTTAAATACCAGTTCACCTCCTTAACAACATACATCTAGTTTTATTTACAAATAATTAACAGAACACAGACTAAAGAACCATACTATATAGATTTTATCAAAAGTTATGTTGGATGTATGCAATAAAATAATGAAGTTGGATATAATAGGCTTTCATGAAAAAAAAATCCTTTTGATTCTTTGAAGGGTACTTTTAGGATGTTAACATTATTTTAGTAAATATACATTTTTTCTAAAATAAAGTCAATGTGTTCACATTAGTGTCTAATAATTTTTGTACTGATAACTTCATTATTTTAAGAAAAAATGTATCACATTAAAGGATAAACAGTAATATAATTTGATTATGAAATTTATTTTCATGGTTGACTTGAAATGGAGTTAATGCAGAGGAGAATACCTTTTGAAGGATAGATGTTAAAATTCCAAACACATGAAACCATGTGAATCCAATTAAGAACATTAGAAATGAAATGAAAAAGAATAGTATATAGTATAAAGTTATATGAAATGAAATGAAAAAGATTAGTATATAGTATAAAGTTATATGAAATGAAATGAAAAGGATAGTACATAGTATATTGTGATTGAAAATTGAATTGACGGTATTCAATTCCATTTAGCTTACTATCACGATCATGGTTCAACTAATTTTTCATTTAATAGTTACTACCATATTCTAGATAAATGTCACGTTTTTCAATAATTTTGTTACTATTCAACACCTGCCACCATTTCAACTATATTAAATTGCTATTTTCTTCAATTATATTATTTTTATTAAGTCAATAACATTTTCGTAAATCACTTTGAATATTTCCAAATGTCAATCGTTTGAATGTCAGTCCACTAGGGATCAATGCTTTTAGGAAACGGTTATATGTATCAATTGAAGAGGGTGGGAAATGGTCAATTATTTGTATCTTTATTGTATTGTTATCTGTTTATTATATGAAAATGATAAAAAATATATTTCCAACTTAAAATATAGAAAAATTAAGTATGTTTGTTCAATTATAATTAATTGTGTTACTATTATTTTTTACTGTAATATTTTTTTGTATTAAATATTTATTTTCTTTGACGAAATTCAAGTAGAAAGTATTATTTTACAAAACATGTGTAAAATAATAACGCTACGTTAAAATAACTCTGATACATATTTATGACTTTAACGAACTTCAATAAGAGACTATTAATCTACAAAAAATGTGCGAAATTGTTTAGTGTGCTATTTAACAAGTTTGAAACATCTTAACCCATTTATTATAAAGTACGTAATAATATAATTTAGGATGTTAAATGTAAAATAAAATACAGTGTAAAAGACTTAGTTTTATCTTGAAATTGATGTGAACTTCCAATAAATATCACATTTATATTAAAATGACAATATTATTGAAGAGGTTTTTGGCTCAAGTGACTAACAAATTATGCATTGAAGTTTGAACCTGAGAATTTGTAAATAAGTTATCTGGCAGATATGATTGACATTGTGATCTCATTATTGGAGTAATATGTATGTTGCTCTGTCTCCTTTAGACTTTTGATGGTATAAAGTGGTGGTTGTATAGGTGAAGGTAATTCACAATTTTCATTTGAAATAAAAGAAATGACCTCAAGCATAGTGGGTCTATCCTTTGCTCTGTCTTGAGTGCACAACAAACCTATATGAATGCATCGCATAACTTGTATGTGGTGGCACGAACCATTCACCATTCTGTCAATCAGCTTTAGAGCTTCCCCTTCGTTCCATAATTGCCATGCCTGAAACAAATTATTACCCTCTTAAAATTTTAACTGCATCGATTCAACTTTATTTTATTTTTACATTTAGGTAAACTTACGTATCCTATCAGATTCAGTGAAAAATCGTCACTGATGTTTTTCTTTCCAGTCACAATCTCTAAGAGTAATACGCCAAAACTGTATACGTCGGTCTTGGTTGAGATAACTCCACTCAGAGCATATTCTGGAGGCATATAACCACTATAAAAATGTTAAAAACTTACAGAATATGTAAAAAGAAATTTTAATCACATAAATACTCACTATGTTCCAACAACTCTATTTGTTTTTTCTTCTAGTATTGTCCATTTAAGTATCCGAGCCATTCCAAAATCAGATATTTTTGGATTTAACTCATTGTCCAACAAAATATTACTAGCCTTCAAATCTCTGTGTATCACTTTTAATCTTGAATATTGATGTAAATACACAAGTCCTTGAGCAATTCCTTCAATAATTTTGTACCTTATCTTCCAATCTAACGCAGTTCTTTTGTTGGCCTCTGTTTAGAAGAAAACCACAATGAACAATTAATAAAAAATATCAAAGTGTTGAATGTTATTGAACAAAATGACCAAGCATATTAGATGAGAATATTTTTCATACCGAAAAGGTATAAATTCAAACTTTTGTTGGCCATGTATTCATAGACTAATATCCTTTCTTCTCTGTCAATGCAAAATCCTAAAAGCCTCACTAGGTTAGTGTGCTGCAGTTTCACAATCAGCATAGCTTCGTTTCTGAACTCTACCAATCCTTGTCCCGAGCTTTTTGAAAGTCTCTTTATAGCTATTTCTTGACCATTTGCCAATTTCCCCTACGAAAATACAAATTTCCTTATTTATGTGTATATAAAATATTTAAGAAATATGTGTAAAATAGTTTTGGGCAGTGATACTTACAGATAATAATATTTTGATTATAATATATTATTTTTTAATTTAAAATCATAATATATATATTATTATATTATTAAAAGAATTGATTACCTTGTAAACAGGTCCAAAACCACCCTCTCCAATCTTATTCGCTAAAGAGAAATTGTCCGTTGCCTGAAGAATGGTTATAAAGTCGAATTTATGTGTATCACTGCCTGTCCTTTTCTCATTCCATTCTTCTCTTCCTTCATCGCATGCATCAGAAATTTCAGTATTTTCTCCAATGTCAGAGAATACATTTGTTCGCTTCTTACGATTTTCAACTGTATATATTTGATCATACATAAAAAAAAAATAATAAGAACTTCAAAGATATATATATATATATATATATATATATATATATATATAACATAATAACTCCATTTTGAATTCTCATGTATACTATCTTATTTATTATTATTACTAATTAGTCAAAGTAATGTCTTGAAATAATTATGATTCAGAATATCCAAACGATGAAGATTAACCTCTTTGTTTTTGTTTTCTCCCCAACATGATAAAGGATGCAATGAATGAGAGTATGAGGAGAAGAACTCCAACCGCAGCACTAGCAATCCATATTCTCCTCTTCTTGCCTTCTGCATCAGAAGAAGAGTGTTAATTCTACATATATATGTGATATGTAATAAACAACTACTGCTACTCTATATTCATACACACGTACTATAACAATCCTTAACATCCATGCAAGAATGTTACCTACACATATTTCATGTTCTGGTGTGTGTATGAACTTACTGGCTTTGGTTTCGCTGAGAAAGAAGAAAATTGGACGGCCAACACCGGAATTACCCTCAACAAAGTGTGATGTGTATCTGCTCCATATTTCACAGCCAGTTGCATCCTTGAATGCATAAGTGTAAGCCTCACAGGAGCAATTTTTCAAACACCTCATCCAGCAATCAGAAATGGTCATGTTCTCTCTTTCATCAAATATGTATCCCTTTCTTGACATTGCTCCAAAACTATTCCAACTTGGCAAGTACAAATCACCATTTTCCCTACATTTGGGAGGCTGTGGCATTGTACAACCAGGCACAATCTCAGTGCCAACACAGGAGTAAGAGACACCGGTAGCATTGATTATACCCAATGGTCCCATGATGAGATAACCAGAATCTGGAGAATATTCAAAGTAGGTCAAACTTTCGTTTGAAAAGAAAGTGAAGTTGAAGTTCTCTCTGTCAAGTGATGAGGATTTCAGGTTGCTAAAACTTCCATTTCTCCACTCTCCACTGGCCCAAATAATGTCCCCTCTCCATCTGGAAATCAATTGGTTAATTTTGGGGTCAAGGCTGAGAGAGAAAGACCCTGACCAAAGAGTTTTGTAACTTCTCCTTGCTGTTAGAGACCACTTGTGGCCAGTGTGCTTGTCATAGCCAAGCTTCATCCCTGGTAAAATAGTGTCTGTGGGGTAATCAAAGCTTTGCCATAACACCCTTTTCACAGATCCATCTAAGTTCAATTCATGAAGCACAAAGTTTCCTGTGTCAAGCAAAGAGGCTCTAACACTTTTGTTACTTTCTGCTTCGACTGAATATAGCATCACAGTGGTAGTACTTGACACAATTTTGAGGTTGCCATATTCATCAATGGTGAGAACTCCGGGGTCATCGTGGATTGGATTGTCCCTGTTGGCAAGCCAAACATAGTAATAGTACTTATTGGCTGATATGCCAAGGTAGAATTTGGTGCTAGCTTCAGACCCATCATCAAGCTGAAAGAAACGCAGTGTGTATAAAGAAGAAGGCGAAATCAAACGGTCGGTTGCTGCAAGGGGATGGCCTTGGAGCAACGTGTCTTCCCTCAAGTTTGAAGGCTTTGCAAGTTTCAAGAAACAGGTAAAAGTGATGATGATGATGAAGCATAGCACTCTTTTGCTCAAAGTGAAAACCATTTTTCCTTGCACTCAGCACAATCTGAAGTTAGCACATATATATAGATAGACGGAGTCAAAAATCTACAAAGCATATAAACATTTTCTTTTTATATTTCTTTTAGAAAAATATTTATGAGAGAGGTTGGTTGAATCATAGTCCTTGTTTACTTAGACATATGTAGACATAATTTTTATCTAATGCTTATCTCTTTTTTCTTTCTTTCTTTCTTTATCTGACCAACGTTTCTTAAATTATAACTGATTGTTGTCGGTTGTTGGTATATCTACCAAGAATTTTATCAAGGAAAAGCCACAAGACACAATGAAGACGAGGTCAATGAGATTTAGAATCATAAATAAACCTAAAAATTAAATAAAAATAGTAATGCTTTAAAAGGGCGCATGTGAAGGCAGGTACAATAAATGCTAAAAGTTATTCATTATTGTTATTTTTCATACATAAATCATTACTTTTTTTAAAATTAAAATCATAAAATACATTTAAAAATATTTTAAGTGTAATCCGAACGTAGAATAGAGACGCTGCTATTTAGAGTAGGAGTGCAAACAAATCATTGTAAATTTATAAATTCGATTTATCCAAATATATTTTAGCATGTCAAATTGGATGATCCATTCATCTCACTGTCCATTAACTTTAGAGCTTCATCTTCATTCCATAGCTTCCATGCCTAAACACGCTTTGTTAAATGTCAAACCAATGCCATGCAATTTTATCATTCATAGATTCCAGCCTTTCACAACACTTACATTAATAACAAGATTAAATGGATAATCACTACTATAAACGTCTGTTTTTGTTGGAGAGGTACTCATAAACTAATATCCTTTCTTCTCTGTCAATACAAAAACCAATTAGTCTCAATAAGTTGGTGTGTTGGAGTTTCATAATTAGAATCGCTTCATTTTTAAACTCTATCAAACCTTGGAAAGTCTCTTAATGGCTACCTCTTCTTCACTTGGCAACTTTCCCTTTTAGAAAACATTAAAACTTCATAATAATAATAAATTTCAATTTTTCTATTAGCTAAAGAAATCACCATTAACACGAGTATAAAAATTACCTTGTAGACAGCTCCAAAACCACCCTCTCCTATCTTATTGGTGGAAGAAAAATTAGCAGAAGAATAGTTTGAAAATCGAAAATATACATATCACCACTGGTCTTTCCATCTTTCTTCCATTCTTTTATTTCATTGTAGGCAATGGAAATTGCAGTATTTCCTCCTATTTCAGACAATAATTTCGTTCACTTCTTGCTATCTTCTGCATATTTCAATATCATGCATGAGGGCAGTGATCTATTTTATAGTTTTAGCAGTATAAAGTCACCATCTAAAGATATTAAACCATATGGTTTATATTTATTTAAGACTATTTTAGGATCAAACAAATAAGTGGCCAACCCTGATGTTGTTAATATTGACCTTCTAGTTTTAGTTTTTTACGCAACTTATTGCATGTGAAGCACGAGATGATTAGTATGACAGTTCCAACTATTGTGCTTATGAATTATTAAATATTGCCTGCATTGAAATTGGAACCGTCAGTATGAACCCGTTAACGTTGGAGTTTCTGTGAGATAAAATCTAATGATACTAAATTGCAACACTAAAACTTTACTGCTTTACCAATTCTTTTTTATTTATATGATGGCTATTATATCAGATACGAGGTTTCACATATTCACAATATTGAATTCCAACATTGTTAAATACGTACCGATGGTGTCAAACGAAGTATTATTACTCTTTCAACAATGATTTGAAACTTTAATCTCTTATATGTGATAATCTTATACACTTTTCACAAACATATACATTTGTAGGACAATAGTAATCATAGAAGTAGGAGAGTATTATATGCACTCACCATTTTTTCTGGCAACAAGAAAGTATATCTGACGCAGCCCAGGTGTCAAATTATAGCAGTGACCACAAATTTTGCTGAGTCTCTGCTCATATCTCACAGCCACTTTCATCATGTTAGCATAAGAGTAAGCCTCACAACTGCAATTATTCAAACACTTCATCCAGCAAACAAAATTTGTGAGGTTCTCACTTTCATCAAATTTGAAACCCTTCCCTGAAATTACTCCGTAGCTATTCCAGCTATCCCTGTACAAACTATCGATCATAATCTCTACATTTGGGAACACTTGTCATTGAACAACCAGATAATGTAAACACTCACGCATGAAAAAGAAGAACCAAAAAGCCGCCCTATATTGAACCTGAAGGTTCTATGTAGATATAACTTGCAAGATATGACACATAGGTTTCATTTTCGTCTGAATAGTAATCAAATTCTAAGTCCTTCTGGTAAGCTGGGGACTTTAGATTGGCAAAGTTTTCATTGCTCCATTGCCCACTACTTCAAAAAATGTTCCCTCTCTACCATATCACCAATTGCTTCTTTGTGGGCTCAAGCGCAAGGGTGAAAGACCCTGACAAATAATAGTCTCTTCACTTCTCCCTGATGTTATATACCGTTATATACCAATTTTGACCAGTTTTTCTGTCAAGCCCTAGTTTCATTCTCATCATAAACGTGTGAGAGGTGATCAAAATTTTGCCATAATATCCTCTTCAAAGATCCATTTTGGTTCACTTCACCAAGCATAAGGTTCCCAGTATCTTGCAATATGGCGTTGAAGGTAGTAGTAGTATTGTTGTTATTGTTAACTTGTCTTCCAGCATCATCAGAAGAATAGAGCATGATAGTGGAATTTCTTTCCGGGTTGGAAATAATTTTCAAGTTACCAAATTAATCAATTGTGAGAAATGGTGCAGGGTGTGGATTGGCGTGGCGTGTCTCTATTGGCTATCCAGAAATTCTGATTAGTTGAATTTTCAGCTGATTTTCCAATTGCAAGGTAGAAATCTCCAGAGCCTTTGTGTTGAAAGAAACTCATTGTATACCAACCTGTGGGTGAAATAAAACAGTCACTTGTTGAGAACTCATGACCCTGTAGTAATGTATCTGTGTTCAAGTTTGAAGGTTTCCTTATGTGTCTCAAACAAGTGAAAGTGATGAAACATTATATTGATTTGACACATATTAAAAAATAAAATAATTATAAAATATATTGTTTTAATTTTAAGAAAAACAATTATTACACTACCAGCGGTAGGTGGAAGCGGACTCTTATTCTAGTTCTACTAGTGCATTTATAATATTTCTACTCTGGTATTTTTCATTTATATACTTTTAAATTAACTGATAAGTATTTTTATGTTTGGTATTCTCTTCCAATAACATTCATTATAAATTTGTATATTTTCTTACCAATAATAATTAGGATAACATTATTATTATATATAGGTGATTGTTCTACCACTTCATCATATCAAGTTGTTTTTATATATCCTTTATGCATGATTAAAAAAAATCCAAAAGTACTTTATTAAAATAAAATTTATTTTTCAGCAACTACTATAATATGCAAAAGTTTCATTCCACATACAAAATATCAAAATTTTTATAGTGTATAAATAACGAAAAATTGGTTAAGTCTTGGAAATTTTAAAAGTAATAAAATGTTAATTAATTATTTTAGTTTTAATCTCATTTAAGTTGTTATTACTTTAATAACCTTTTAATAAAATCGTTGATAGTAATTAAACGTATTTATTGTGAAGTAATAAGAACAAAAGTCCACTAAAAAAATTATAGAATTGATATTAGACAACAGCTTAATATTTATCTACATCTATGTGTTTGTTTATCTTACAACAAACTATTATTAGGTTCATACTTCATTATAATATCCTTAAGTAATTAATATCTCATTAATTTAGATCGTAACTTTTATACTAAATACAGGTAAGCAAGTGGCCATTACATGTTATGTTTTACATGTCATGTCTTCTTGGTTAATTATTTTAAAGGTGTTAGTTGCATAAGAAACTTAGTATATATGGCAGTTGTTTGTGTGTGTACAGGTAGTGTTATTTGACAATAACGTGCAACTTTATACATCATATTTTTTTAATAATAAAATCAAATATTTTCTGTTTCGGTATAATTGTTGGAACCGAGATCCGAACCTGATGAATGACGTCTTAACCTTTTCGCAATGCAGTTATCCTTATATCTTTCTCTTGCACAGGGCTCTTCGGGGAGAATGGAGTGGGTACCTGCGAAGACACTTTGACGCTCAAGTCAGAAAAAGGAATGACGGAACCTTTTTGGTTCAATAATAAAATCAATATTTTCTCTCTTCTTCCTGAATTATAAAAACCGTACATGTTTCTTTTCTGATTTTTCGTATTTAATGTAAAACTAAGATAAACCGTTTACCTAAAAATCCGGTTAGTTGGAAAACTCAACTGCTTGGTTATGTTTTTCATCTATGATATTGGGTTAGTTAATTCCCTGATTTGTGCTATCATGATCAGATATTTCTAACCACTTATTCCTTAGTTTATCCAGGTTAATTGATCCAGTCTGAATAAAGCTGACCGGACGTATGTTGACTCTTAGCTTGACTGGGTTGATTTGACCCATGCTGATTGTTTGGTTTAAGTAACGGACGATCGCTATTAAGACGATCGATGTTAGGGGCGACATTGACGAGCGTACGATATGACGATCGTCTCGCTAGCATTATCTTCTATGATATCGCGATTGTTCTGTCTAGGAGGTTGACGATCGTTCGGAAGTGATCGTTTGAGTACTCGTTAATATCTGGCCTGTTTACTATTGGTAGTCGTCCGGGTAAAAGCGATCGTTCAGTCGCTTGTTCGGTTTATTATTGACAACCGTTCGACTCAGATATTCTACCATTACTTTTTCTATCATCAACTTTATAATTACTAAAATGCAAACTAAACGCACATCTTGGAGAGTTTTATTTTAAAGTTTGGTTGTGTTTTTATATTTGATTAATCACATCTTGTTGTTCTTTTATTTTATTTTCTCATAAAATTTTGACCTTTTATTATTGTTTTTTTTATGAATTATGTTGTAAACAAAAGAGGGAAAACCTCATCTTTAACAAA